GAAAATCTCAAGTGATGTTGTAGCTGAAGAGTGCTCTCCTTGAGCTGAAGAGCTGAGGAACAGCACCCAGGCCCAGAGTTCAAGCCCCACGACCGCCACACACACACACACACACACACACACACGCACACACACACACACACACACACACTCTACACACATACTCAGTTAATAGACATGTATTAGAGATATCTTCTTGCAAGGAGTTCATTAGATGCCAGAATCACAAAGATGAAAAATTTTCATACTTGCTTTTGAGAAGCTAAGTTTAATAAGGGAAGACAGTAACAAAATACTGTTGGGAGAAGTTGTTTTATACTGGTATGTTCAAAATTATTTGGAAGTAGCGTGACAGACCTAGTATAAGAAAGACTGCTACTGAGCTTGGTCTTAAAATACAAAGTTTACTAGATGCAGGAGTTGGAGAAAGATAATAAGGGTCAACCTTTTACCTTCAAAATCTGGAAGGGTTTAAACATTCAGAATTGAGAAGATGGGAATAAGGGACCTGCATGACAAAAATTGGAAAACTAGATGAAAACATGAAGCAAAGGAATTCTTACTAAAGTATGGATGGGTACAAAGAATTAGAAAATTAGCTTCTGTTTGCTGGGGTCTAAATATGGGGAAGAGCTATAGAGATTTTCGAAGTGAGACAGAATGAAGTTAGAACTTTAAGGTTAGTTCTGTATATATATAAGGTTAGTTCTGTATAGGATTTCTTGGGTTAGGATTCATCAGAATCAAAGAGGGCAGTCAGGACCATTAGTATAGCTAGGTAAGAGGTAAATTGGAGATCATACCAAAAATGACAGGGGGAATGGAAAAGCCAGGCCAAAGGAAAGATGTGATAAGTATTTGATTCTCAAATCCCAGCCTTCTGGGTAGCTAGGGTTACAGGCATGAACCATCAGTGCCAGGCAAATCTTTGACCCCCTGACAGACACAATATTTTATAGTCTATATTCATTTGTGTAGTCTATATTCTATAGCTGGAGCTGCTCTAAAAAGACTTACTCCAAGGCCTGAAAAGTCTCTAAAAGATTTTCATAGCTATGCAGAAAATATAGTTCTTTCCTCTTTAAACCCAGTGTTTAAGCAAGATTAATGGAGACCTCTCAGATTCCAAGAAACCCTATATTTACTTCAAGTACCCACTTAAAACCCAACCCTGTGGGAGTTTCTCAATTTGCAAAAGTTGTTTTTGGCTGATAGTTTTAATCTCCAGTAAAGTGTTTCAGAAATAGGCAAAGAAAACCTGCTTTCCTCTGTTCTTTTCTTCAAGTAAGTAAAATATTCCTAACTCAATAAAGTGTTGATTTAATAGTCATGGAAAGGTAAATGTCTCTTTCTGAAATATTGGCCTGAAATCTCATCTTTGAAAGCTAATTGTCCCTTGTGCTGTATTCAATAGCCATGAGAAAAAGTTACTTTTAAATCAAATATGAGTTGTGATCACTAACTGTAGTTGTCTTTTTTGTTGCTTGTGCCAGTACTGAGGATTGAACTTAGGGCCTGTAGGCTTTTCCTTAGTTTTGTTTTTGTTTTTTTGTCAGTCATGGGGCTTGAATTCTGGACCAGGGTGCTGTCCCTGAGCTCTTCAGCTCAAGTTGAGTGCTCTACCACCTTTTTTTTTTTTTTTTTGGGGGGGGGGGTGGGGGGTCCAGTCGTAGGGCCTGAACTCTGGGCCTGGGCACTGTCCCTCAGCTCTTCAGCTCAAGGTTAGTGCTCTACCCCTTGAGCCACAGCGCCACTTCCAGCTTTTTTCTTTTTTGCTTATGTGGTGCTGAGGAATCAAAGCCAGGGCCTCATGCATGCAAGGCAAGCGCTCTACCACTGAGCCACCTTCCCAGCTCCGAGTGCTCAACCACTTAAGCCACAGTGCCACTTCTGGTTTTCTAATGGTTTATTGGAGATAAGTCTCATGGACTTTCCTGCCCTGGCTGGCTTTGAACTGGGATTCTCAGATCTCAGCCTTCTGAGTAGCTAGGATTATAGGCATGAGCCATGAGCTTTCCCTTAGTTTTTTTGGCTCAAGAGTCTCCTGGACTTCCCTGCTTAGGCTAGCTTTGAACCGTGATTCTCAGATCTCAACCTTCTGAGTAGCTAGATTAGAGCCCTGAGCCACCTATGCCTGGTTTGGGGCATCTATTTTGACTTGAATTGAGAATGCCCCCTTTTGACCTTGTTTTTATGAACAGCAGTCTAGAGAAATCTTTTTTTTTTTTGGGGGGGGGTCCAGTTGTGGGGCCTGAACTCTGGGCCTGGGCACTGCCCCTCAGCTCTTCAGCTCAAGGCTAGCACTCTACCATTTGAACCACAGCGCCACTTCTGGTTTTGTTTCTGCTTATGTGGTGCTGAGGAATCGAAGCCAGGGCCTCATGCATGCAAGGCAAGCGCTCTACCACTGAGCCACCTTCCCAACCCCGAGAAATCTTATCTCTCAGCCTTAGACCCATATATGAAATTTCTCTAGACTCAACTCTTGAAGATCTACAGAAACTTCATATTCAATATGTCCACTACTGAGTCCTGTTCTCACCAACCTGATATTCTCTATCCTGATCGTCTCTATGCTAATGAATGTCTACCACCCACCATCAACTCAAGCTACAAGCCAGCACCATCATATTTTCCCTTCTCCCTAACATGCTATACACTCCCTCTGCCCCAGCATCTGATCCTCTTCTGACCCATAAATCTGACAACTACCCCAGCCTCCTCCCTCATCTCCCCAAGTTTCTTCTAACAAGTGCTGAAAAGCTGTTTCTGAAAACAAAAGCAGACTCCTTCCCTGAGCCCGTAAAAGTACAAAAAAAGGCAGGCATCCCTATCCATTTGGTATGTCTTTTGGCTTTGTTTTTTTTTAGTTGTTTTGCAATCACTTCAGATTTTGAGTACAAGATTGATCAGTAACATCTTTATGACAAGGGACCAAAATGTTCCCTAAGAACAATGGAGCCTCCTCAGAACAGACTAAGACCACTTGTTTGCTTATCCTGACCAGGGATGACTACACTAACAACTGTAGCAACCTCCTCAAAACAAGGAGTGATAGAATGATCAACCAGACCATGTGAACTGGCAGAACCAGGATTCAAAAACAGGCTTTGTGCCACGTTACTGTCACCTGATTTGCTGTTCCACCCATAGACCTCAAAATGTACTTATTAAACAACTTGGAGAAGTAGGAAAGGAAAAAAAAAGGGAGGGGGGAGAGAAGTGAGCGTGGGTTCTCAGCTGTGCACACTCTTAGTTTGAAGTTTTATTTCCTCTTAAAAATTGGTCAATGACTTTGGCTTCTGTAGGGAAAGATAGTTCCTCGTAAGCCTTTAAGAAGGGCCACAGGGGCTGGGAAGGTGGCTCAGTGGTAGAGTGCTTGCCTTGCATGCATGAGGCCCTGGGTTCAATTCCTCTGCACTACCTAAGCAGAAAAAGCCGGAAATGGCTCTGTGGCTCAAATGGTAGAGTGCTAGCCTTGAGGTGAAGAACTGAGGGACAGTGCCCAGGCCCAGAGTTCTGACCTCATGACCGGCAAAAAAAAAAAAGGGGGGGGGCAGTCAAAGGGAGGAGCAGCAGAAGAATGGAGAGAAAGGGTAAGCAAAAACAATTGTGTTCAATGTACATATGTGAATATGGAACCACATAACTTGAAGGTACGTGCAAAAGATGACACTGACCAAGATGCATAATACTTATAAACTGATTTGTTGAACTGAAACCCCTTTGTGCAATGACTTAAAGGCAAAAAAAAAAAAAAAAAAAAAGGAAGAAGCACTGATCATACAGGATTGCTTTTAGGTGCCAGGATATTAAAAGTCCCTGAGACTCACCAGCAATTAAGCACCAAGAAAGAAAAAAAAATGCGGTGGCTCAAGTGGTAGAGCAATTAGCCTTGCACAGAAAACCTCAGGGACAGCACCCAAGCCCTGAGTTCAAGCCTCAGGCCCAACACACACACACACACACACACACACACACACACACACACTATGATTTTATTTATTTATTTTTTTTTTATTTTATTTTTTTATTGTAAAGCTACTATACAGAGGGTTACAGTTACATGAGTGAGGTTATGAGTACACTTCCTCTTGAACACTATGATTTTAAGAATGATGCGTTTGTAACCTTCCAAACACATATACACACACAGTATGATTGGGAGAATGAATGATGCGTTTGTTTGTAACCTTCCAAACACACACACACATACACACACACAGAATGAATGATGCGAAGTTGTTTGTAACCTTCCAAAGCCCGCTTATAATGTTGTAACCCTGTCTATGATGACTTGACGACAGGGAATCTCTGAAATCCCATAGGTGGCACACACCTGTAGGCCCTGCACACAAGAAGCCCAAGCAGGAGGATAAGTTTGAGGCCAGCCCGGGTTACACAGGCTGGGGGGGGCGGGGGGTGAAGCATTTTCCAGAACGATTACGATTACTGCGAGTGTGCAAGCAACTCACGGCTGGCTTTCTGGTGGTGAACTGGAGACCACAGTCTCCTGGGCTCTCCTGCCCGGGCTGGCCTCGAACCCCGATCCTCAGACCTCAGCCTCCGGAGTAGCTGCGGGGACGGCAGGCGTGAGCCCCCGGCGCCCCTCGCTAGGCTTTTGTGTGCTCTTTTTAATTTCAATCTGAGGACAAGCATACGTCAAGCACGGAAAGAAAACCGACACTGGCCAAGACGCGCAGTGGCAACGGGAAAGGCCCAGCCCAGTTCTGGAAAATGCAGAGCCCAAGGGGTGACGGGAGGAGGAAGGGACCGGCGGACGACCTCGCCTCAAACCGGGTTAACCTCGGCACGGCGTGGCCTTCCCAGCCCACCCGGATCACCGCCCCGGACTCGGCGGGCTGCACCGCCACCGCCGCCGCCGCCTCGGCCTCCCGGAAGCTGCGCGAGGGGGGCGTGGCCACGGGGGGGGCACGCACGCGAGAGCCCCGCCCCGGCCCGTCCGGCGTGACGTCTCCGGACGTGACACGGCGCGCGCAGCCGCGCAGTGCGCGTCGGGAAGAGGGGATGAGCTGGGCTGGCTTCCGTCGCGTTAGCGAAGGCTCAACCTTCTCCCCGTCCAGCCCAGGTTGTCGGGAGATGGGCCTCGGGCGGAGAAGCCGGCGTCCGTGAAGCGCGTCCGGCGCCACGGTGAGTGAGAATCCGGCCTCAGAGCCGGGCCCGGCGGCGGCGGCGGCACCCGGGGACCGGCCCTGCCCGCGCAGAGGGGAGGGACCCGTCCCCCCCTCCTCCTGCGCCGCCTGGACCTGGACGCGGGGCCCGGGCCCTGCGCTTCCCCGCTGCCTCGAAAGGGTGGTGCGGTCCCGCGACCTTGGATGGTGTGAGTGGCCTTGACCACCATCCCTCCTTTTTTTGTGTTTTGTTTTAACCTTTGGGACACTCAGACCCGACTTTGACCTCCTCCTCCTCCCTCTTGCTTCTGTTTCCGGCCATCCTGTCCCACCCACGGGTCCCCAAGGCCTTTAGAACCCCCTCCGAGTGGTTCCACTTCCTCCTCTGACCCCCTCCCTCCCTCCCGTCCCGCCTCCGCCCCCCCCCCCCCCCAGGAAGCTTCTAGTGAAGTACAAGTATGAGTTTAATAAATGGATGAGTTACAACTTAACTAGAAGTTTTGCTTTCCTTAAAAGAAAATAACAACTCGCCTTCCGTCCTGGAATTTATGGCACAGACAAGTTCCATTTCACCTGCCCTGTAACCAAGAGACGCATCAGGACCTTTAATTTCAGGAATGTGCGTTGGTGCCTCTGCCTCTTGGGTTTATTTCTTGCCTCTGGTTTATCCTGTGACCTTGAACAAGTCAGTCACGACACATTCACCTGACTCACAAAGGTGGTGTAGAGCCCAAGGAATTTAGTATTTGTTAAGAGCTTCTAAGGGTTTCCGGTCAAAAAGGTATGCCTACCTAAAAGGTGTGTGTTACTCATTTTGGCTGCATTAAAATACCATTTGAAGCCAGGCACCAGTGGCTCACCGCTGTAATTCTAGCTGCTGAGATCTGAGGGTAGCGGTTCAAAGCTAGCCGAGGCAGGAAAGTCTATGGCACTCTTTACCTCCAGTTACCACCAAAAGAAAAAAAAAAAAAAAACTAGAAGTGGAGCTGTGGCTCAAGTGGTAGAGCATTAGCCTTGAGCAAAAAAACTCAGGGACCGTGTCCAAGACCTGACTTCAAGCCCCACAACCAGCACACACACAAAAAGCCAAGTGTTATTAAGTATGTGGTCTTGCTCTGCGGCTTTGCTTTGTAAGCGGATTTTGCATTTCAAGCCATTCTGTTTTTTCAGATTGTTGAATGTCATTTATGTTGATTTTTAAATAGTTGTTGCAGCTCTACATTAAGTGAGGTGATGTGGGTTGTACTGATGCTTTTTTTTTTGTCGTGGGGCTTGAACTCTGGGCCTGGGCACTGTCCCTCAGTTCCTCAGCTCAAGGTGAGTGCTCTTCCACTGGAGCCACAGAGCCACTTCCAGTTTTCTGGTGGTTTATTGGAGATAAAGAGTCTCATGGACTTTGCTGCCAGGCTTTGAACCATGATCCTTAGATCTCAGTCTCATGAGTAGCTAGAATTACAGGCGTGAGCCACCAGCACCGGGCTCTTTCTTTAATTAGATCTAATTATTATATCTAATAAATAAGGCATAATATTGCAATAGTACCAGGAGCCAGTGGCTCACACCTGTAATCCTAGCTACTCAGGAGGCTGAGATCTAAGGATCATGGTTCAAAGCCAGCCATGGCAGAAAAGTTCCTATAAGACTCTTATGTCCGATTAACCACCAAAAAGCCAGAAGTAGAGCTATGGCTCAAGTGGTAGAGTGCTAGCAAACCTTGAGCAAGGAGAAAAAAAAAAAAGCTCAGGGACAGCACCCAGGTTGGTAAAATAATTTTATTTTGCTTCAGAAAGGAGGAATCAAGCTAGGGGTACAGCTCAATGATACAGATAGAGCCTACTGGGTTACAAGGTCCTGGATGCCTCCCTTCCCCCAACACAATGGAAGTCTATTAGGTGACATAGGGAAAGCACTTTTGCTCTAATATAGAATAGAGAACTATGGAAGTTATGTTCTGCCAATTTTTAGGCCTAAGTTTGAAGAGGATAGTAGTTTCTATTCTCTCTTTCAACATGTATACTTGGGCCTCAGCCTTACAAAGAAAGAAGCACTCCAGTTGTCTTCCTAGTAAAACTTGCAGCCATTATCAACTGCCTTACATGTAAGGTAGCCACCTGGGAATCCAGCCCAGCTGAGCTTCAGATAACTCCAACCCCAGCTACTTATCTCAGTACAGATGCATGAAACCCTCCGTGAGCTCCGTCTTGCTAACTCAAAGACAGCGCAGAGAAAATATAGAGGTATAAAAATAATTTTAAGCCACTGTTTTTTTGTTTTGTTTATTTTGGTCGGTCGTGGGGCTTGAACTCTGGGCCTGGGCGCTGTCCCTGCGCTCTTCAGCTCAAGGCGAGCGCTCTACCACTTGAGCCACAGCGCCACTTCTGGTTTTCTAGTGGTTTATTGGAGATAGGAGTCTCAAAGTCTTTCCTGCCCAGGCTGGCTTTGAACCGCAACCCTCAGATCTCAGCCTCCTGAGTAGCTAGGATTACAGGCGTGAGCTACTGGCACCTGGCTAAGCCACTGTTTTTGAGTGAGTGATGTATTCTGCAGCAACAGGTAACTGGAAACAGTAATTTTTTTTTCTTTTTTTTTTTTTTGTCGGTTGTGTGGCTTGAACTCTAGGCCTAGGTGCTGTATTTTAGCTCAAGGCTAGCACTCTACCACTTGAGCCACAGAACCACTTCCGGCTTTTTTTTTTCTGTTTCTGTGGTGCTGAGGAGTCGAACCCATGGCCTCATGCATGCAAGGCAAGCACTCTACCACTGAGCCACCTTCCTAGCCCTAAAATTTCTGTTAACATTTTTTTTCTCAAAAAGAGTCATGCTTTATTGCCTGGGTTGGTGCACTGCTCTTACTACTTAGTTTTAAAGATGTGCCAATGTCACAAGAAAAGGAAGAAAACATTTGGAGGGAATCATATAAAGATGTGTGTGTGTGTGTGTCCATGTCCATTCTCTGAGCGTTTTTTTTTCTTTTTGGGTCTGATCGTGGGGCCTGAACTCTGGGCCTGGGTGCTATCGCTCAGCTCTTCAGCTCAAGGCTAGCGCTCTACTACTTGAACCACAGAACCACTTCCGGCTTTTTTCCTTTTGCTTATGTGGTGCTGAGGAATCGAACACAGGGCCTCATGCATGCAAGGCAAGCGCTGTACCACTGAGCAACCTTCCCAGCCCCCTCTCTGAGCTTTTTTGCTCAAGGATAACACTCTGCCTCTTGAGCAACAGCTTCACTTGCGGCATTTTTGGTAGTTAATTGGATTGGAGATGAGACTTACATACTTTGCTGCCCAGGCTGGCTTCGAACTGAGATCCTCAGATCTCAGCCACCTGAGTGGCTAGGATTACAGGCATGAGCCACTGACAGCCAGCTCAGACTTTTTTGTCAGTCCTGGGGTCTGAACTAAGTGCCTAGTTGGTCCCTGAGCTTTTTGCTCATGGCTTTACCATACCACTTGAACCACAGCTCCACTTCCACTTTTTTGGGAAGTGTTAATTGGAGTTGAAGCTTGTGGATTTTCCTGCCAAAATGGCTTTGAACTCTTTCAGTTGAACACTTTAAAAAATAGTTTAAAGCCGGGTGCTGGTGGCTCATTCCTGTAATCCTAGCTACTCAGGAGGCTGAGAGCTAAGGATCGGGGTTCAAAAGCCAGCCTGGGCAGGAAAAACCTTGAGACTCTTATCTCCAATAAACCACCAGAAAACCAGAAGTTGTGCTGTAGCTTAAGTGGTAGAGTGCTCGCCTTGAGCTGAAGAGCTGAGGGACAGCGCTCAAGACCAGAGTTCAAGCCCCATGACCGACCAGAAACGAAAAAAAAGAAAGAAAAAGAAAAAATATTGCTGTGCTTCAGTGGCTCACACTTATAATCCTAGCTTCTCAAGGAGTCAGATCTGAGGATCACAGTTCAGATCCAGCTTCAGATAAATCTAAGAGACTCTTACCTCCAACTAACCAGCAAAAAGCTGAAACTGGGGCCATAGTTGAAGTGGTAGACCCCAGATTCAAACCCCAGTACATTCTCTCTCTCTCTCTCTCTCTCACTCACACACACACACACACATACACACACTCTGATTTCTCATAATTTTGATAGCTTAGGGATTGACTTGTGATGCTGATCTCAGTGGGAAACAAATTGTTATATTGTTTTTACCAAAGCATTTTCGTAGCTCTTCTCTATGTTCATGACTCTGACCATTTACCTTGTAGCTTCTTTAACCTGTATGGGCCATCCTCCAGGTCTCTCATTTACTTGGTAAGCAGCAGCATCTGGGCATCAATTGTATTATCACTTCCCTTTCATTTTAAGAGGTAGAAATTTCATTGGGAAGTGAGATTTTTTTTTTTTTTAATATCTCGTGTGCCTTTTAATACTTTACCTCCTGTAGAGCAAATATTCTAAATATTTACCAGTTTTTCTTCAAAAATAGGGATCGTTATTCCACTTCCTCTTTTCCCTAGCATTCTATGATCTTTGTAAAAGTTCTTGGGAAGTCGAGTGCTGGTGGCTCACACCTATAACCTAGCTCCTCAAGAAACAGATCAAATCCAGCCCAGACAGGAAAGTCTGAGCTGTGGCTCAAATGGTAAAACAGTATCCTTGAAGGTAAGAGTTCAGGGGTAGCACAAGGGAAAAAAAAGTTCTCTGGAATTCTCTTTCCTTGGTTTCTGTGATACTGCACTCTCCTTATATTCCTTTACCATAACCATAACTCTTGTTTCCTTTTCTGAGTTCCCTGTATTTTAATAAATGTTAGGTAAGTTTTAAAATATGCTACATACCCCTCTATACATCACCTTGACAATAAAATTTTATACACACACACACACACACACACACATGCTACACAAGAACAAAGGAAATAGAACTATCACTGGGCAATAGTGGCTCATGCCTGTAATCCTAGTTACTCAGGAGGCTGAGAGCTGAGGATCACAGTTCAAAGCCAGCCCAGGCAGGAAAGTCTGTGAGACTCTTATCTCCAATAAACCAGCAGAAAACCGGAAGTGTTACTGTGGCTCGAG